GTTAAATTAGCTCAAAATTCATCAATGCATATTTGTAAAACATCTTCCTGTTTCACTTGATTAAAAACCATTGATATAGCAGTAATTGTGAGGCCAGACAAGTTAGCAAACATATCATGATCCAAGAATGCTCTAAAATCACAAGCAATGAAAGGTTATAATTGGAAAAAATTATTATAATGAATTATTTCCTTTCTTTTTTACTTTTTATCCGAACAATGGTTGTTAGAATTCCTTTCCTTTCCTTTCCTTTATTAATTTTAATTATCCAAACAAGGGTTATATGTATCTTTTCCTTTCCTTTAAAAAACTTTCTTTTCCTTTCCTTTCTTTTATTAATATTTATCCAAGCATAGCGTTAATATATCATTTTATTGGAAGTGATTAAATAAAAATTAAAATATTTAAACCTGAATCTACTAAAATATATGTCTTAATAGGAAGCTTTTATTGAAATATTTTATTAGGAAATAGTTTCTTACTGTTTTATGGAGTATTTAGCATCTTTGTAGCTATTTTTTATTTGTTTGGATTTTCTATGAAATCAAAGGCAAAGATATTACGAGTATATTAGTGTTAATTTAGATATTCTTTGTTAGTATTATCATTTACATTTTGTTTTGGATAATGTCGCATTTGGTCTTAGTCCCTATACTATACACAATTTTTAAATGTGGTACTTTTATTTTAAAATGTTTAATTTGGTACATGTATTGTTTTTTTCATGTGTCAATCTAATACCAGGGGTTAACACCGTTAAATGATCTTGCTGACTCGGCTGTGATCATATGAGGTGATGACACTGACATGTTTGCCGTGTTACCTTGTCATGTCATAAAAAATTAGAATGAGTTATACATCTGTCGTTGACATGGCGGCCACGTGGCAAGTGAAAAATGTGGCTGCCCATTTTGAAGGGGCTTTGACTGCCCCTTACAATGTAAAAATAGGAAAAACAAAACTGTCAATTTATCAAAAACGGGAAAAATGTTGCCCTGGGGACACTGATTCTTTTCATCTTGTAAAGAAGCATTCTTTCAACTTTATCAAAATCCAAAAAAAAAAAAAGAATGGATGAATTATGAATCTTTCACCTTCAACCGAGATGAAAAAAACAATGGGAAGCAACACAATCAACACAACAAGCACAAAAACACAACAAAAAAGAAAAAGAGAAAAATAGCATAAAAAATGAGGGAGAGTGGGTTGAGTGATTCTTATGTAAGGTTTTCATGTAGTGTTTTCAGCTTCTTTTTGGGAAATTAAATTAGGTGAGACTTGAAATAGAGAAAGGGGAGGCTAGAAAAGTAATTGGTGGTGATTGGTGGTGGTAGCAATGATCCTAGGGATATGTTTTCTTTTTAGGGTTTTGTTTCTTTTCTCGGTGTAGAAGGAAAAGTAGGCAAAAAGGAAGGAGAGAGATCAGTAGTAGTTTTACGTAGTGATGAGGTTTTTCGACAAAGGAGGTTCAAGTTTAGGTTTTAGATCTATGAGTTTGTGGAGTTTTTTGGGAATTATGGTCTGATAGAAGTGTAGAGGAGACCAAGGGGAGCAAGTGGGTGATTCTTGGTGGGAGTCCAAGATGGCAGACAATGACCAATGGCAGTCAACAGCAGCATGTGCAACGGTCTGGCAAGGATTCTGTAACTGGGTTTTTGGTTGGAAGTTGAGGTTTGGGTTATTGAGAGAAGCTGAAATGGAGAGAGAGACAGAAAGGAAGAAATGAAAAAAAAAAAAAAAAAAATTGTTTATATAGGGGATAGGGAAGAAGGGAAAAGAAGGGAAAAAGAAAATAGAAATTGGTAAGTGTCATGTCATTGCCACGCATGCATTTTTATGAGATTTCTGATGATGACCTCGTATGATGATGTGGCATAAATTGCTATGTTCATCATCTGATTGGATGACGACCATGTCAGCTATTTCATTTAACGATGTTAATCCGAAGCACTAGATTGACATACAAAAGAATAGTACAAGTACTACATTGGAAAATTTTGTAAAGTACAGGGGCCAAATATGATATTATCCTTGTTTTCTTTTTATAGCTTCTTTAGTTTATTTGAAGTTTGTGATTGCTTTTTGAAGAAGCCTACTAGAGTAGCCAATAGTATTTTGTCTTAATTATTTTAGGTCATTTGAACTTCTTTTGTTAAAACAAACAAATTAGATCTGTTGCAAGTGAAGGTGTACATACAATTGTTTGATGCTTGCTTTGACCTTGACTGGATTGTGCTTATGATTTGATTTGCATTTGCTTTTTTCTTTGGTGGTTTATTTGATGTAGATATTTTATCCGTTAATACTCACGTTGTTGTGATTACTTTGTTTGATTGATTTATACTCTTGAGAAAAAAAATCAGGTTTTATATGCCCGGGGTGCTAGATTTGAATACTTTCGAGTTATAGTTTTTTTGCTTCACAAATTATAGGTTGTTAACAGTTTGGTGGCCTTTTAGGTAATTTTGTAGTTGCATTTTTTGGCAATTAGTACTTTACCTATCCATGGCGGATGGGCATGAGACTGACAAAAACATTGAGATATGGAAGATCAAGAAGCTGATTAAAGCACTTGAAGCTGCTAGAGGCAATGGCACCAGCATGATATCTCTCATAATCCCTCCAAATGATCAGATATCAAGGGTTACCAAGATGCTAGGAGATGAATTTGGAACTGCTTCAAACATCAAAAGCAGAGTCAACCGTCAATCTGTGTTAGGTGCAATCACTTCTGCTCAGCAGAGGCTTAAGCTTTATAGTAAGGTTCCTCCCAACGGGCTTGTGCTCTACACAGGGACAATTGTGACTGAAGATGGGAAGGAGAAGAAAGTCACATTTGATTTTGAGCCTTTCAGGCCTATAAATGCATCTCTTTATCTCTGTGACAATAAGTTTCACACTGAGGCACTGAATGAACTTTTGGAATCAGATGATAAGTTTGGTTTTATTGTGATGGATGGTAATGGGACTCTCTTTGGAACATTAAGTGGTAACTCCAGAGAGGTGCTTCATAAGTTCAGCGTTGATCTTCCAAAGAAGCATGGTAGAGGAGGACAGTCAGCCCTTCGATTTGCTAGACTTCGAATGGAAAAGCGCCACAACTATGTGAGGAAGACTGCTGAACTTGCCACACAATTTTTTATTAATCCTGCCACCAGTCAGCCTAATGTTGCTGGATTAATACTGGCTGGATCAGCCGATTTCAAAACTGAGCTGAGTCAGTCAGATATGTTTGACCAGCGGCTTCAGGCTAAGATTCTGAATGTGGTTGATGTCTCTTATGGAGGAGAGAATGGTTTCAACCAGGCAATTGAGCTTTCCTCAGAAATCCTATCAAATGTGAAGTTCATACAGGAGAAGCGCTTAATTGGGAAATACTTTGAGGAGATCAGTCAAGATACTGGGAAGTATGTTTTCGGAGTGGATGACACATTGAAGGCCTTGGAGATGGGAGCTGTTGAGATACTTATTGTGTGGGAAAATCTGGACATAACTAGGTATGTGCTGAAGAACAGCGTTACTGGTGAAGTTGTCATAAAACATTTGAACAAGGAGCAGGAAGCTAATGAGAAAAACTTCCGTGATTCAGCCAGCTCTGCTGATTTGGAGGTTCAGGAGAAGATGCCGCTTTTAGAGTGGTTTGCTAATGAATACAAGCGGTTTGGTTGTAGTCTTGAGTTTGTTACCAACAAATCACAGGAGGGTTCTCAGTTCTGCCGGGGGTTTGGCGGGATTGGAGGTATCCTCCGATACCAGCTTGACATGAGATCATTTGATGAGCTTTCTGATGATGGAGAAGTCTATGATGATTCTGACTAGCAATCAATGAACTCTACCCCATTAATGGTGCAGGATGATGGGGTTAAAAGCAAAGCCTGCATCAGCGCACGAACTGTCTTGCATGCTGCTGCTGCTCACAATGCCCAATTGTTTCTAATACATCTAATTAAGGTTTGGGTTTTAAACTGTTTTTTTTTTTTACTCTGATAAGTTGTAGGTTATTAATCCAAAAAAGAAGGTAACTTTTAGGTTGAATTATAGTAGATTGATTTTGGTCATTTGAATTTGTGCTCGTACAACTATCATTCCCAATTCCCTTCCCCGTCCCTTTGCCCTTTTTAGTTCCACACTAAATGCCACTATATGATTTACAACAGGCTTTATGTGGTGATGTTACGTGAACCTAATGATGGAGCACAGCTAAAACGTGTAATGGCGTAGCTGGGAATTCCATTGAGCTTCCTTTGTATTTTCTTGGATATATTAAACCTGGAACTTCTGATTCACTTCCGTGGTTTAACATTGCCTTGTGTGTTTGTCTGGAGCTGTTGTGTTTGTTTTCTACGTTCTAGAAATTAGAATAGTGACTGTTATGCCCTAGTTGGCTTTGTTTGAAGGACAATGGTTTGTCTTGCATTATTCTACTAATACTTGATCTTGTCATGGACGCTTTGTTATGTGTGGTTGCTTGATATCCAGACTTATTTGGCAGTTCATTACTTTACTAACACATCACATAAAAAGCATATGTTAAATTATTCTTGAATCATTAAATCATTTGCTTTTATTCTGTAACAATGGTTTTAAGGAAAAATTAAAATACTATTTAATACAATAGAAATGGTAAAAATAAACAATTAAACTATTCCTGTTGAATAAAACGAGCCTAGATGGAGTTTTTGCTCTCTGATAGCTAGTTTCATCGATATACTACTCAAGTATGACAAGCACAAGAACTTTTTGTGTTGAAGGAGCAGCTGGCTTTTGTTCAACAAATCTTCTACATTTTATTAAATCTAATAATTTAATGACATGATAAGAAAATGATATGAAAAAAATTAAAATTATATTTAATAAAATTATAAAATATATATTTTATAATTTTATGTCAATATAAATTGTAATATACATTTTCATGTAAAATACGTCATGGAAATATGATTTTAATGCAAAATTGTAGATTTATAATTTAAATTAGAAAAAATGAGGAGTACAACTTGTCAAGAATGGGATTCGAACCCATGCCCTTTCGGACCAGTACCTGAAACTGGCGCCTTAGACCAACTCGGCCATCTTGACGTTTTTTAGTAGGATACGGCTTTATATTTTATTTATACATAAATAGTGGTTTCCGAGATTTTCTTTTCGCCCGAATTCAAAATGAAGTTCCGATCAAAGAAGGAAATTAACCTCTGAAATGCGTTCTCTTTTCAATAACAAGGTTCATATCCAAATCTCTTGTTCATCTTATAAACATATATCAACTCTAGCTGCCATTGAAAACCCATCTATTTATAGAGTAGAAAATGATGAAAAGAATCCAACTTTTTATACTGCTTCTAACTTTTTCTTTGATTACAGAAGATCAAGACACCATACTATCAAAAGCATCAAACTCTTACATGCCCATTTGCTTAAAACATCAGAACTTCAATCCAATATTTTTGTTGCAAATTGTTTGCTTGATGGGTACTGCAAATGTGGTTCAATGGAAGAAGCAGTCAAGCTGTTTGATAAAATGCCTGAACCAAACGTAATTTCATGGAATTCTATGATCTCTGGTTATAATTACATCAGTTTGTTTGAGGGTTCTTGTTTATGGTTTCGTAAAATTTGGCTTTCGGGTTTTGAACCTGATGGGATTACTTATAGGAGTGTGCTTTCAGCTTGTGTTGCTATGCAAAACACTAGCTTTGGCAGGCAGGTTTATTCAGTTACAATGAAAAATGGGTTCTTTTCGAATGGATATGTTCGAACAGGAATGATTGATTTGTTTGCAAAAAGTTGTAACTTTGAGAATGCTTTGACGGTGTTTTATGATGTTTCAAGTTGTGAGAATGTGGTCTGTTGGAATGCAATTATATCTGCAGCTGTTAAGAATGAAGAAAATTGGGTTGCTTTGGATCTTTTTGTTCAAATGGGAAAGCAGTTTTTGATGCCTAACGTTTTTACGTTCTCAAGTGTTTTGACTGCTTGTGCTGCACTCAAAGAGCTTGAGATTGGAAAAGAAGTTCAGGGGTGGATCATTAAATGTGGTGTGGTAGATGTCTTTGTCGGAACTGCCTTGATTGACTTGTATGTCAAGTGTGGAGACATGGATGAAGCTGTGAAGATGTTTTCAGTGATGCCTACACGAAATGTAGTTTCTTGGACTGCTATCATTTCTGGATTTGTGCAGAAGGATGATTGTCTCAAAGCCCTCAAGTTTTTTAAAGAAATGAGATATACCAAAGCGGAAATAAACAACTACACTGCTACTGCTGTAATTTCTGCTTGTGCTAAAGTAAACATGTTTGAAGAAGCTACACAAATACATTCATGGATTATAAAGAGTGGGTTTTATATGGATTCAGTGATACAAGCTGCTTTGGTAAAGATGTACTCAAAAATAGGAGTGATTGGCTTGGCTGAAATGGTGTTTAAAGAGATGGAAAGCATACCGAGTCCAAACACTTGGGCTGTGTTGATTTCTTCTTTTGCTCAGAAACAGAGTCCTCATCGGGTAATTGAATTGTTACAGACAATGTTAAAAGGGGGTCTGAGACCAGACAGGTTTTGTACTTCTAGTGTCTTTAGTGTGATAGAATGCATAAACCTTGGGAGGCAGATGCACTGTTACACTCTTAAAACTGGGTTGATCTTTGATCTTTCTGTTGAGACTTCCCTTTTCACAATGTACTCAAAATGTGGTAGTTTAGAGGACTCTTTAAAAGTATTTCAGAGTATTCCTGTCCATGACAATATTTCATGGGCTTCAATGATTGCTGGGTTTACAGAACATGGCTATGCAGAACAAGCTCTTCAAATGTTCAAAGACATGCTGTCTGAAGAAACCAAACCTGATCAAATGACTCTAACTGCAACTCTTTCAGCATGTTCTTCTCTTCATTGTTTGTGTAAAGGCAAGGAAATCCATGGGCATGCAATTGGTGCGGGGCTAGGGAATGAACCACTTATTTGTAGTGCACTTGTAACTGTATACTCAAAATGTGGCGCACTAGGATTAGCAAGGAAGGTGTTTGACATGCTTGTCCAAAAGGATCTTGTTTCATACTCATCCTTGATTTCTGGGTATGCACAAAGTGATTTGATTAAAGAGGCAGTGTTACTTTTTTGTGCAATGATGAAGTCTAATTTGACAGTAAACTCTTACACACTTTCATCCATTCTTAGGGCTAGTGCACTTTCAAACAAATCAGACATCGGGACTCAACTGCATGCACTTGTCATAAAAGTGGGCTTAGATTCAGAGGTTTTTGTTGGAAGTTCACTTGTTACAATGTACTCTGAATGTGGGGGCATTAAAGATTGTGAAAATGCATTCAATGAGATTGATAAACCTGATTTGATAGGTTGGACAGCTATGATCTCAAGCTATGCTCGGTATGGAAAAGGTGTAGAGGCCTTAAGAGTCTATGACCTCATGACGAAAGAAGGAATCAACCCTGACTCAGTAACTTTTGTTGGGATTTTATCTGCCTGTAGTCATAGTGGGCTGATTGAAGAAGGTTACTACCATCTTAACTCAATGGCCAAAGACTATGGAATTCAACCTGGTTACCATCACTATGCCTGTATGGTTGATATTCTTGGTCGGTCGGGGAAATTAAGAGAGGCTGAAAAGTTCATAAATAATATGCCTATTGAACCTGATGCCTTCATTTGGGGAACACTACTTGCTGCATGTAAAGTACATGGAGATGTTGAACTTGGAAGGCTAGCAGCGGAAAAGGTTATTGAGTTAGAATCATGCCATGCTGGAGCTTATGTCTCCTTATCTAATATTTGTGCTGGCATAGGTCAGTGGGAAGGAGTCCTAGAGATTAGAAGCCTGATGAAGGGAACTGGGGTGAGGAAGGAACCTGGTTGGAGTTCTATGTGAAATTCATTTATTCCTTCATTTGCAAGTCTGCTTTGATCTTTGGCTTCAGTTACTGGCCTCTGTGATTGGGTTGTTTTGTTATTAAGTCAGGCAGCTTTGAACCTAATCAGCAGCCCTATTTATTAGTTCCTCATCTGTAGTATATGCAATGGAGAATAAGTCAGGCAGGTTTTACTTGAGAAGTCAGTTGGCTTGACCAGAATTCTTTTACTTTCTCCAAAAGAACTTTTGATATGGATCACATTTTATTCTTGGTTTGGCTGTTTTGTGCTGTTTGAACTGAAGTTTTCACAGCTTCCCAGAAATTGACATATTGTTAAGAATTTGGAGCCTTGCTTTCCTGGATGAGGACATCCCTTTCTTGCACTCTAGTAAAGGCATGTCAATTATACTCTGAAGGCAATTTCTTCTTGAAATTTTAATTGTTTTTATTCATTATTCTTATCATCTTACTTGCACTCAATCTTTTAAGATTTCTCTCATGCTGCTGTCTATTTACAATTCATGCAGAAGTTAATGTGTTGTATGTGTGTGTTGTCACTACTCTGTGTGTGTGTGTTGGCAGATTGCATCATAGTCAGAGACTTTCATAGTAGTATCACATTTAAAATGAAGATTAAATGTTTAACTTGCAACTGTTTTTGTTTGTTGTAGGAATGAATTTTGGAGCAGCATTCCATGAAGCTAAATTGGCAGGTTCATCTGAAATTAGTGAGACAGGAAATAGATCTCTGATGGCTTTGCAAGTATATAGTTGTCCGACCCTTGTTGCTTTTCCATTGTGTCCTAAACTGCATATATAAACTCAGGTTAGTTTTCATACTGCATGAACAATCTTATTCACCAAACGAACATGAATTATTATTTTGAATTTTTGATCCACTAGTAGCCATCTTATGTATGCTCAACTCATTTTTTCTTCAGGTGGTGAGGGTTGGGGTTGTGAATCAATCAATTTTATTTAAATGAAAAGTATCATCTGAACAAAATACAGCCCATATAAAGCGTCACTTTTCACTATATGTTACCATGGTTTCATATCTTTTTGTCTGTGGAGAATTAATCATCATCTGACTTTTATATTCATTGTTTTCAGCTAGTTTCTGGAAACCTATGGAATGGGATATGAAGGAGGTGGCCAAATATCGACATCACTTTCTCAAAGTAATAAAATTTGTCAAAATTTCAGGTCTGAAGTGAAATTAGAATTTGCAATGTTTCTGCTTGATAATGACATGTTGTTAAAGATGATAGCTCTTGAACTAACCATCCGTTCTCAAAGGGGGCTTGGAGCATGTGGAAACTAAGGAGACGAGTTGCAAGAGCAAGTGCCAAGGCATATTTTGCATTATTTTTTTTGCAGGCAAAATGAATATATGATTGATGAAGGAAAAATGAATATAGCTTCGGGGATGGCCATAAATTTGGCATAGTTGGAGTCGGCAGGACCATGAGCTGGATTTACATGTTGTTGGTTTCGGTTAATTATCCATCCACATACATGTTAGTTTTGCTATTATTACTAATAGAAATAATATTATTGTGTTGACATAATTGTACATTAGATGTACCATTTGAATACGTTTAGGTATTCCTTTGGTCCATTCACTTTACCCCCAAAGGCTATACATGGTTTATTTGGAAAATGTATGCAACTGCCAAAGTTATTGTCATGTCATGGATTCATTGTCACGTCATTAATAAAAATTAAAAGCATAAAATTTAACAAAGATATTGTTGACTAACAGCTTCATTGAGTGCAGCTTTTATGCAAAGCCCTTGAACAAAAATATTGACTGTAAACAAATTTGGAGATGCCCCCTCTTCATAACCTTGTTCAGCAGCTTTTCACTGTCTTGAACACCCCCTTCTTGCAAAGAATATGTATAAGTTTTATTAAATGCAGTGATATTTGGAGAAATTCCTAGCCCAAGCATCTCATCAAACAACTCATATGTCTCAATGTGATTGTTCTCTTCAAAAAAAAAACCATCCTACATCCTTGCAAAGGCATGTTTCAAGCGCTATGAGTCAGCAGCTACATGTTTAGGAAGTAAAGACAGGACTCATTGCCAAACTAAAAATCTAACACCATATAAACACATTCAAGCCTATTAAAACCAATTGACATTTGAATGTATTTTGCTCTTCTTCTCACTTTGAACTTCAAGTTATCCAAAAACAAGAAAAAATAATAATAACTCAAAAAATTGTGATCATTTGTCTGCAATTTGACTAACCATAATTCAAGATCAGATACTATTTTCAGTAATGAAAAGCTCTAAACTTCACTTTTGGCAGATAGAAAATCAACTTCATTGACACTAAATCTGGGATTATTTTGGAAACAAGTAAAATAGGGAAATGGGTTCACAACCTCTCTTCTTTTCTTCCATTTCTCAGCAACCAAATATAAGCACCAATGCCATAGCCACTTCACAGCCGCAGGCCATAAAAAAAAAAAAAAAAAAAAAAAAAAAAACCTGAAAATGCACAGAAAATTTTATTGTATTGAAATGCACAATCTTAAAAGAGAGCAGTAGAGATTGACCTCGAATTTAAAATATTATATATTTCCAGATAAAAATATGACCATCTTGTGGAGATGGCCGAGTTGGTCTAAGGCGCCAGATTAAGGTTCTGGTCCGAAAGGGCGTGGGTTCAAATCCCACTCTCCACATTCATCAAATTATTTTATTCTTATTTTCAAATAAAAAAAACTGGGCCTATTCTGATTGGATTCATTCTTTTTTTCAAATAAAAAATTGGGTTAATTCTTTTTCTATTTTCAAATGAAAAAACTGGATCGATTCTGATTGGATTAATTCTTATTTTCAAATAAAAAGCTGGGTCTATCTGATTGGACAGAGAACAGGACAAGTTTCGTAGTTTCCTCCGAAAAACACAGAGCGACATTCTCAACGAACTAACTAACCCACAAAACTCAAAACCAACAAAAGTACAAACAACAGTGAATTCAGAAGCCTCCCTTTTTGTCTTCTTTGTAATCTCATCCCACACTGCAACAAAGCCATAAACCAAAACAATACAATCATCATGATTTAATCACAATTGAATTCCACCAAGTCCCATTTCCTTTTTCTTCAGTTTTTTGATCTGTTAGAACTTTGGATCATTACTTTTCATTTCTCTTTCACTTTTACTTTGTAACATAACATGGGTTTTTTTGCTAAAAAAAAGTGGGTTGTTTTTGTTTTATTGCATTGTTGAACTAGTCATATTTGTGAACCTGGGTTTTGATTCATTCAAACGCTTCAATCTTTGCTTTTGAATGCCATTCAAGCTTTGGCTTTTCATTGAATTTGTCCAACCCACTTGACCACTTTGATCTTTTCTGAGGTATGTATAAAATATGAATGATCACTTTTGCTTGTGGACTTATGACTTGTTCTTTATATGCTTAAATTTTTTAACAAATAGTTTAGATAATCAAGGCTTTTTGAGTAGGTTATCTTGTTCAATCAAACCCAAATCCAAATCTTTCTTTTCTTTGTTCTTTGATTTTGATCAAGCTGATTTTGATCAATTGCCATGTCCCATAACCTGGGATTTAATTTTTATCAAGAATTTACTGAAGTTTGTCTTTCTTTCTCATTCTAGGTAGCTGTTTTAAGGTACATCATGGCAACTAAAGGGAACTCTGGGGAGCTGAAAACCAGGAGCTTTGTGTATATTTTTATACTGATTGGTTTATGCGGTTCCTTCTATATATTGGGTGCATGGCAGCGAAGTGGTTTTGGAAAAGGTGACAAGATAGCCTCAGCTATCACCAGACAGACTGATTGCAGCGTTCTTTTCAATCTTAATTATGAAACTCATCATGGTGGTGATGCTGTGACGGTTGATGCTTCAGACTCAGCACCCAAAGAGTTCCAACCATGTGATGATAAGTATATTGATTACACACCCTGTCAAGATCAAATGAGGGCAATGACATTTCCACGAGAAAATATGATCTATAGGGAACGACATTGTCCACCTGAAGAAGAGAAGCTGCATTGCCTTATTCCAGCACCCAAAGGATATGCAACCCCATTTCCTTGGCCAAAGAGTAGGGACTACGTGCCTTACGCCAACGCTCCTTATAAGAGCTTGACAATTGAGAAGGCTGTACAGAACTGGATTCAGTATGAAGGAAATGTGTTTAGGTTCCCAGGTGGAGGAACTCAGTTTCCTCAAGGAGCAGATACATATATTAATCAACTTGCATCCGTGATTCCAATGGACGATGGGATGGTCAGAACCGTATTAGATACTGGATGTGGGGTGAGTTAAATTTTACATCAAGTTTCCATTTCTCTGATATTCTCTTTTGTTTTCTTCAACTAACATGCTGTTTGGTATAATTGAAAAATTAGCATTAAAGAATTATGCATTCATTTGTTAATCCTGACTACTATAAGCTTGAAGTTAGATAACTAATATTGTATACTGTTCTGAAATTTTAGAATGAGATTCACTTAAATTGTTTGATGACTGCAAATATTGGATTATAAAACCATTCGATTTCTAATTTTTTCCTTTATAATAATCAAATTGTATATAAAATATGAAATGATAATAGGATAAATGTTAACAGACTAGAAAGCAATTTTTAATAGTATTATGGTGTAACTGTTGAGCAATAGAAATTGTTGTAATGGTTTTGGCTGAGTGTGTTTTGCATTGAAAGTTTTCAAACAATAGAAGGAGAAGTTTTTCTCACTTTTTCAGTATCCAATTCAGTTTCCAACACTTTGTCACTTGAAATATTCTATTACCTATTCACATATGTGAATCAAGGAATATGCTGAAAAAATTAAAGCACTGAAGCTTTTAACATTCTACACCTTCCACCCTCTGCAGCTAACTAGCAACAGTAATCTAAAACCATGACCATCTTTTGTCCATGAAACCACTCCAAGCATTTTTTTTTTTATCTGTTTGTCTTATTTTCTGGGTGGATCATCCACATTTATGTGCACTCTTCCTCTGACAGCAGAATTCATATGTATTTTCAGTTTCTTCTTTTTTTTTTTCTTTCCTATGGAATATTTGACTAGATGGCCTCTAATATTTTGTGACAGTAGATTTGTTTCCCTGGTATGGTGTTTAGGTTGCAAGTCTGGGTGCATATCTATTTAAAAAGAATGTTATAACAATGTCGTTTGCACCAAGAGACTCTCATGAAGCACAAGTTCAATTTGCCTTGGAAAGAGGAGTACCGGCTGTTATTGGAGTTCTGGGAACTATAAAGTTGCCATTTCCTTCAAGGGCCTTTGACATGGCTCACTGTTCTCGTTGTTTGATTCCATGGGGTGCAAATGGTGAGGATAAAAATTGATAAAATGATTTTCACTTCTGACATTTAAGTTGGTTTTGCAGAGCCCCTGGCCAGCTGGGTGTAAAACTTAATAATTTTTCTCTTGTTCATTCAATATGCTAATACCTGTATAAAGTATGGTCCAACTGGATCAGCTTAGCCTTTCTAAGGTTGGCTCGTATGTTGCACAATCTGAGACAAGTATGTGCCAACTTTTTTGGTTAATGCTGGTTTAAAGGAAGACAAATGCTCACATCCATTTGAAACAATTTTGACTACTAGATTTGTGACAAGTGATAGTTTCTATATTTTTATTTGTTATTCTGATGCAGCAGATGGTTTCTTTTCGTTCTTTTCATTTACAAATCATAATATTCAATCTACTTGTTAATAAACACTATCTATAACATTGTTATTGAACATCTTTTTGCAGATGGAATGTACATGATGGAAGTTGATCGAGTTCTTAAACCTGGTGGTTACTGGGTGCTTTCTGGTCCTCCCATCAACTGGAGGAATAATTACCAAGCATGGCAGCGCCCTAGAGAGGAACTGGAGGAGGAACAAAGGAAGATTGAAGAGATTGCAAAACTCCTTTGCTGGGAAAAGAAGCATGAGATGGGTGAGATTGCTATTTGGAGGAAAAGAACAAATTATGATTTTTGCCGCCAACAAGATGCAAAACCTACTTTATGTGAATCAAGAAATCCAGATGATGTCTGGTATAGTACTCATTCTATTTAATCATTCTCCTTAAAACAAATTTATCATATGCTTATTGGCTGAACAGAAATGACAACTTCAGGAAAAGTTAGATGCAACCTGCTCTTACTGCAGCAAGTCAAAGCTCGCTTTGATTTGAGCACAAAAATATATGGAACCAACTTTCAGTGCTCTGCCTCGTACTCTCAGGATTTCCGAGTGCTTTTCTTCTAAGTTCTAAGAATATGAGGCACAAATACTTTTTTTCCCTATTATCCCTTTCATTTAGTTTCTAGTCATCACTTGCCTATCCTAGGCCATAAAGTTTTTTTATTTTGTGAATTCTGAAAGGAAAGCAAATGAAAAGTATCAAATAAAATATTATTAATGATGGAATTTACATTGCATGTTTTCAAGATGGTTGTATTGTTTTCCTGGAACATAGGTACAAGAAAATGGAAGCATGTGCAACTCCTTACCCTGAGACAACTGGGCCAGATGAAGTTGCTGGTGGAGACTGGAAGCAATTTCCTCAGATGCTTAATGATGTCCCTTTCAGAATATATAGTGGATCTGTCCCTGGAGTATCTGTTGAGACATATCAGGAGGATGTTTGGTTGTGGGCGAAGCATGTGAAAGCTTATAAGAGTGTTAACAATATCATTGACTCAGGGAGGTATCGCAACATCATGGACATGAATGCTGGTCTAGGAAGTTTTGCTGCTGCCCTTGAATCTCCAAAATTGTGGGTTATGAATGTTATGCCAACAATAGCCGAGAAAGACACACTGGGGGTTATCTATGAACGTGGATTGATTGGCATATATCATGACTGGTAACTCCTTTGATATTTCTCTTCCATTTTTTTGATTGATTTGCCATTATTATTTTTTAGACAGGGTTTGATGGGAACAATCATTGAACTCAACATTTCAAACTTATTACATGTCCAATTATATGTTTTCTAGGTATTAACTCAAAAAGTTCTTGTCTAAACTTTTTAGAACTGACAACAGGAATTTGTTTACCCTTACGTTCTATAAGTATCATGCTTTCAATGAAATATGTAAGCAATCATTCCCCCACTAGCCCCAGATGTTCTTATATTTTTGGTCTTCCCCTTGCCTTTCTGGCATTGTAACTGAGACCCTAATTGAGTCTGGTACTGGTTGTTGTTTCAATTTTTCCAGTCATTTTATAACTTCTTCCAGCTCATTGTTTCAGCCAAAATTAACTTATAAGTGGGTTTTCTCTTGCCTATCCAAGCTGCAGTCACATGAGTGATCACTGTTATATGTCTGTCTTCAAAACTTTCTCCTCAGTCCCTTTTGTCTTCCTCCAAACTTTGATATCATCATCTCTATTTATACAAGCTGAAAATTCAACAATTCTACTCCCGATATCTTCTTTTTCTCCTCTTTTTTTTTTTCCTTGGGCAAGATTTGAATCTGTGCCCTATCATTCACTTTCCTATACATTTATGGACGAGCTAAGTCCCAGGGCACATTTATTTAAAGCAATAGCTTATTGGCAATAATACAGAGGGAGAAAAAAAGAAGGATCATCTATATACCACTGTTTCTCTGTCTGTTAATGGTACTTTGGAATTCATAATGCATTCACCTGGTCTTGGAGAATAATGCACTCACTGCAATACTTGGAATGCAAGCCTATGTTTTCAATTGTTGACAGATTGAAGAAGATGGAAAAGCCATCTAGATAATTGTAAAAGTTTCCTTTTTCTTTTCTGTTTCTTTCCCATGTTCACCCTGTCTGGCCTTTGTGCTTTGCCATTTAGACAATTATCTGGATTTCAATGTGAAACACCAGGAAAAAGTAGAAACGGTTAAAAAATGCAAGGGAAGGAGAAGAAATGGTCCTTTTCAGTTTTATCCCATGTAAAATTCTAGGAGCCTTTTGAACTTTGTACCTCTCATATTTCTTTGTGATAACCAGGAAGATGGAGAACATGTTGAGATTTAATCTCACTAATTTTTCTCACCAGGATGCATCAGGCTTTACCAGCCTTTTTAGCTTGTGTGCTTGTCATTCTTTTGACAGGAGTGCCTAGAATTTCAAGTGGATGGCATTGAAAAGTCATTGAAGATCTTATGAAATGGATCACTGACCCCATTGATCTTGGTTCTTAAAACATTATCTTTGCAAAGTAGCATGAATGAAAAGAATGTCAGTTGTTACAAACTGTGTAGGTGCGTCCAACCTTGTATACAATTCTCGCCTTGTGCAACCTAAACCATGCAAACTTCGTTGCCATGTCAGAGTTAATTTTTATTAATATTTCTGTTTTTATATGCCCATGAATAATTTGTTTTCCGTCATTTCTTTTCTGCTCCAAATTAACCTCAATTGTATGAACCTTTTTTATTGCTTAAGGTGACTTCCTTTACTATTTTGTAACATATGCAACTGTTGTTATGGTGCTGTGTGTAAACTACAATTCCAAATTAACCTCCATTTGGGAATTGATTTACTGCAGTTTAAATCAAGTTACTACAGCTTTGACATATATTTTTCTGTAGTGGTTTTCATTATTGTATCATTTACACTGTCTTTATGCCAAGGTGTGAAGCTTTCTCCACGTACCCTAGGACATACGACTTCATTCATGCAAACAGTCTCTTCAGCTTGTACAAGAATAAGTAAGTCTACTCTAACACTAAACCCAACTCTGCTCTGATGGATAATAATGGAAGAACTCAGCAGTTTAATTTTTAAATGACTTTGCTTCGAAAGCATCTTTTGTCCAGATTTACAATGGATTGAATCCATCTATGCACATGTGCACCACTTCTGGTGGCTGCACAACTATTTCTAATCTATGGGATCTCATAGTTGTGTTGTATTGTTGCAGATGTAAAGCTGAAGACATTCTTCTGGAGATGGATAGAATTTTACGGCCTGAAGGGACAGTCATAATCCGTGATCAAGTGGAAGTTATAATCAAGGTAAAGAAAATTGTGGGAGGAATGAGATGGAATACAAGAATGGTGGATCATGACGATGGTCCTCTTGTCTCAGAAAAGATACTATTTGCAGTAAAAAAGTACTGGGTTGCTGGCGAAAATAATGCAACATCCTTGGAGTAAACGGATTAGTAACATAATATAAATACAGTATATCTAATCTCTTTGTACTCTATCCAGGTTAGTCTGAATGTGAACTGTAAACCAATTTTGAGGTTTCCCTCATTCTAGTCCTTTTCCTTCATATATTTGCATAGCGATTTACTGTTTTTGGTCAATTCTCGGTAACATTTATCTTTTATCATCGCAGAGGCATTTTGTCGAAATGCGCTCTGCTCTGGACCATTTTGGAGTGGTGCACCTTTAGTGTTTAGTAAGTGCCACTTTTCAGTTTTTAGTCCAAGTCTTCCAACATTTACGTTTAGTGATGGAAGGCCTGAAGGGAAAGTTTGTAAGACACAAGAAATAGCCATGAATCGTGAGGAAATGAGAAAGTAGCTTTGCTATGAATCCGTAACTTAGTTGTAATTTAATTTAGTTGGTTCACATAATCACCATTAAAAGATGGGGTTCAAATTGCAGCACTTGCTATCTCTTCTCCTATTCCTAAACTGTTATCTCCTTTGAAATGTAGCTTTGCTGTAGTACAATAATTGAACCAACTTCTAGTAGGGGTGAACAACTGAGTCCAACTCCTATTGCAAGAATGCCGGCCTTAGACTTTACTTGGTAGAAAAGATGAAAAAGATTTTAACGTAGAATCAACAAATTTTTCATCCTTCCTATCAAATAAAATTTTAGTGATGAGAACATGAGATGGCTAAAACTCATTATCAGTTAGCACAACAATGTTGTGAACGAGGATAAAGATGTCTGGAAGAATTGTTATTACAAATGTCAGTGTCATTATCTAGATAAGGATGATCCTTTTTGTCTTTCCACTCCATTATTGTCTATCTCAGAGTTTTTTATGTTCAGTCTCTTCATTGAGGAAGTCAAGGGTGCCTAGTTTTTTTTTCTTCGTTTGTCATGTTTTTTCTCCTTTATGGATATTTTTGCAGAAAAGAAAATTTTATTCACTTTTAAAAATGTGATTACCATTTTATAAAGAAATAAAAGCTGTTCCCTTCAGGAAATACGATGATGATGACAACGATGATCATGACATTTTTGCTGCCAATTATTGTGAGCATTTATAACTTGGAATTCACCCCTTCATAAAATCTGTATTCTTTTTTAATTACTGCTCTGGAAGGTTTATGTTATTTGATTTCTTAATTCTTCTGTATATTATTGTTTTATGCATTAGATAAACCTCTTATCTGTTTCTTGTTCACCACACTACTACCACCACCATTTTTAGCCAGCAGAGAAGCAAAATTTTCTTATGAACAAACATAAGCAAAGTTTGCTGTCTAAAAGCTACCAGACAACCTTCCATGTTAACCAGTTCTCAGATTCAATAGCTCTTTTTTGTATATATACAAAGGAAGCCATAGCTTAGCATAAGGGAATAGGTTGTAGTTGTTAAGTTTTGAACTCTAAAATTGCTAACACCGCCTTTTAAGGGTGATTGGAACCAACTGTTCTTTATTCAAATTCAATAGCTCTTTAATAGCCTGACTAATTAGTAAAACTTTGAAACTTAGTGTACTTTGATCAAGGATTTATGTCATGCACAACTTTAAATTATTGAATTGCGGGGTTCCTTAATAAATATACAATTATGTGGCAAACTATCATTCACATTGTTGGACTTCTTAAACCAACAAATGGCATGACTGAAATAACAATTTAGAGTTCTATTCAGATTGATTTGAACTCTTGCCAATGGATGGTAGAGACCTTAAACTGCAGCCATGTGCCACTTGTCACCACACCATCCATATGTAGCAAGCAGATTGAAGCTGAAAACAGTGTTGAGTATATGTGCAAAATGTTGAAAGAGTAATGAAGATAATTCCCCATATGATGAAATTAATTGGAGAATGAAAACTACAAGTACATAGAGCGAGAAAAAGATGATGAATTGTCAACGAAGCCCCAGGAAAGTAGGACCTCATTAAAACTTGGAAAGTCGGACCAAATTTATCTGCATCAGATGACTCCAAGGCGGTGGCCTGGCACTCTTAGTGCAAGTTCTGAAGCAAGTTGGAACAGCCAAACTGTTTTGTTACGAAGTTTTATTATGAGAAACCGATATGAAAACAAGCAAAAGAAGGTAGATGGGAGGAGCTTTTTCTATAATCTTAGCTGCACTAGATCTTGTTCAGATGGGAAATCTGTTGATGTCAATCAAAATGTTGAACATGGAAGGGTTCACGGAAAGGAGTACGGGAAAAAACACATTCAAATCAGTCACAGGCCTATCAATATGGATAGAAGGAAGCTCACTCAAGCAAAAATTTAGGTGAAAGTGTTGGGAAAAAACAACTCCCACGCGCAGCAACCACACACAAAATAACAAGTTCAAATCAAGAATAAGAAAACACAAATATATTTGATTCAGCCCAACTCAAAATGGCCTACTCCAAATCTAATCCACTATCAAATAAATCTTTACAATTGTGAGACTTTTAGAATGAGAAAAGTCTCCTAAAACTCCTTACTCAAAACTTAACCCAAAACCCAATTACACCCTTTAATAGCCTACTCACTTAGCTATTCTCTTGGTGTCTAACTCTCTGGGGTTACCAAACTAAAACCAAAACATCTTATTTATAAGGGTAAAACCCTTTATACCTTTACTAAACTCCCGATGTGGGATACAAGACAAACTCAAACTCACTTAACTTTCGATGTGGGATTATGAGATTCAAGGCAAATCCCAACAAATCCTCCATTGACTTGAATCTCTAAACACTTCAACAGTATCTGCAAAGCTAACACGCTTACCTTTCTTCTTTTCGTTCATCACAGGCATCTCAGCAACTGAGCCTCCATCAAACATGTACAAATGATTATTGACCCTATTCCCTTGTAGAATCACATTACCATTCTTGTACACTTTCAACCAATCATTACTACCATAATATGTGTACCCCCGAGAAGCTAACTCACCCAAAGCAATCAAATTGTAGTGACAATTTGGTACATACCTTACATGACGAAGTGTCCTAATAACACCATTGTGAGATTTAAGGCGAACACTCCCAATGCCTTGAATCTGCACCTTTTCTTTGTTAGCAACCACAATATCCCTATACTTTTCACTCTCATTCAACTCCACAAAGCAGCTTTTATCATTGCAAACATGAACTGTAGCAGCTGAATCTAAAACCCAACTTTTATCACTTTTCAAAGTCTGGGTCTCATCCACACAAGTTGTCAAAACAACATCATCATCATCAGACAAGACAGCAGCAGTATCACTCTTTTCTTCATCTGATTTCTTCTCATCATTCGCCCTTTTGAAAGCAGCCATATCCCTTCTCAGCTTCCTGTAGCGCACTTGGATATGTCCCTTCTTACCACAATAATAACATTCTACATCACTGTAATCTCTGTCTCTTGACTTAGATCTCTATCTTGATCCATCAATCCTCTTTTGAGTCCTCCCTCGATCAAAACCCTCTACAGCTAGTGTACTCCCCCCAGGTGATGAGTTCTGAGCTCCCATAAACCTTTCATTCTCACGCAACAGGGCAGTCACATCATCTAACTTCAAAGTAGACCTGCCTACCAACACAGTCTGAACTAAAGGCCTATAAGACTTGGGCAAAGATGACAGCAAAATTAAAGCCTTCTCTTCATCTTTTAACTCATCAACAGAAATCGCTAGCAATTGAGAAACCAATCTATTAAACTTATTCAGGTGATTATGAAGACTCATACCTTCTTCCATCTTCAGAGAATACAGATCCATCTTCAAACATAATCTATTAGTCAACGACTTCGAAGCATAAATACCTTCAAGCTTATCCCACAAACTCTTCGGAGTACTCTCAGTCAACACACTGTACTTTACTTCTGGAGCTAACGCCAATCTAATAGTACTAACAGCCTTCTTCTGAATCCTATTTCAATTAGCATCAGACATTCCCTCAGGCTTACTACTCTCTAATGCCTGATCCAACCCTTGTTGTACTAACAGATCTTGAATCGTACTTTGCCATAACATAAAATTACTCTTTTCATCAAATAACGAAATCTCAAACTTAGGCATAGACATACCAGACTTACCTTCTTCAGACATCTTCAAACACTGCTTCACGATCTCTTGAACCCACGAACCTTAAACCTCGAACCTCATCAAGAATAAGAAAACACAAATATATTTGGTTCAGCCCAACTCAAAATGACCTACTCCAAATCTAATCTACTATCAAATAAATCTTTACAATTGTGAGACTTTTAGAATGAGAAAAGTCTCATAAAACTCCTTACTCAAAACTTAACCCAAAACCCAATTACACCCTTTAATAGCCTACTCACTTAGCTATTCTCTTGGTGTCTAACTCTCTGGGGTTACCAAACTAAAACCAAAACATCTTATTTATAAGGGTAAAACCCTTTATACCTTTACTAAACTCCCGATGTGGGATACAAGACAAACTCAAACTCACTTAACTTTCGATGTGGGATTATGAGATTTAAGGCAAATTCCAACAGAAAGATGAGTTTTACAGCCAGAATTTTCACCAGATGAGTGCAGGATCAAACAAAGAAGTGTACTTTGGACCACTGATGCCGAAAATTGATGTTTGAGATATGGAGATTAACTACAAATAGCAAAACTTATAAAGAAAACAACTTATAAGGATTTGAATAATGATAGAATATGATTATTGAATTAAAAGGGATAAAAGTTCACCACCAAAACTAGAAACTAAAGGACATAGAAACATCACCCTAAGAATTCTAATCTAATTATTCTAATTCTATGTATTTCTTTTTTTTTTTTAATAAATTATTAATTTATTATTAATATTAATTAATTTATTATTATTAAATTATTCATTATTATAAATTTTTATTTACCTACGTCTAAACGGAGTCAAAAATAGATTCTATTTAGCTAGAAATGTATTTTTTTTTTTCAGTTGAAAATTCCCAATAATAATGATACTTATTAGAATTAGGGGGGGGCGGGTTTCATGTCAATGGCAAAATACTTTGATATATTGGGGGATATTCCTATTCATAATTATCTAGATGCTACAGGAAAACGGGGAAATTTTCGCATAAAAATTTTTTTAATTAGAGAATTCTTAATTTTTGTCTTAGAAATAAGATCGATATTGAGTCCTGGGTCGATACCAGTACCAAGAGTAAGAAGACCAGTACCAAGAGTAAGAAAACCAATACCAAGAGTAAGAAAAATATTAAACCTGTGGTTAATAATTTTAATAATTATCAAATATAAAGATACAGAATAATAAAGTTCACCACTCTAAGAAATCTACCTAAGAGATACAAAACTTGAAAAATAATCTAAAAGACTGCTAAGGATAAAGAAAACTCTATTCTCTCTTTTATCAAAGAATAATAAAAAATATATAGGCTAGGAACATCCCTCAAAGCATGAAAATTTTTAGATTGCATTGCTAGAATCATGCCTAAAATCATGAGATTTGCATGTGAACATAATCTACCCATTTACTCCTAAACTTGACCACAATTCCATTCATATTCATGATCTTCTTTTTCAGCTAGTGTGAACGTAATCTCCCTATTTTAGCCCACCTAATTTATATATTTATTTAGTGGATTTGGACCAAGGATAGGCTTATCTTATTTTTGAATAAGTTTGCCTTAGTTTCAACCTAAGTTATATGTTGTACAAACACTCCGGTGTCAATCTCCTCTGGTTGAAAAAGACTTATCCTAAGTCTGAACTAGTATTCTGACCATGGTAGGTGATAAATCAGCAACATTGAAGATGGAAGATACTCTATAAGTGTCGAAAAGCTCTATCTTGTAGGTATTCACCCTAATGCATTGTAGAACTCTAAATGTACCATTTGCCTTAGGTTGTAATTTGCTAAAACTTACCTTGTGGAAACCTTTCTTTGTGCAAGTATTCTCACACCAAATCATGTTCTTTAAACTTCATATGTCTTCAATGCATGATTATTTTCTTTTTATATTTCTCATTTTTTTATAAAATTCTATTTTGAACCTGTTCATGAAATATTTTGATACTCTTGGCTCTTTCTTTTACATCCATTATCAAAATTTTGATTAGCATAAAGTTGAATTAAATCCAAATGACAGATTGCACTCTTACCAAGAATAATTTCAAAACGCTACAACTAATAGGTAGAATGACTTTTGGAAAAGGTTTATGCAATGTTGAATGTCCCTCATTAATGGTAAACCAGTTGGTTACTTCTCCTAAATAGCTTCTAGAAATTCCACCAATAATGGTTGTATCATTGTAAGGGGCTCCTCATTATTTTTATTTTCCTTAATTAACACCAGTGCATACATAGTACCACCCATATTAATTTCCTTTCTGTAATTGGCCTTGTAAACAACTATTTCCTTCCCCTTTGGTTGGTTTGGACATCACCATGGGCTTGGTAGGGCCTAGGATGATTTTGGATCCATTCTTCACAAATGTATAAGTGTTGCGGTAACCATCATAAATAACCATTTTGTTATAATGCCAAGGTCTTTCAAGTAGTAAATGACAAGCACCCATAAGAGCTACATCACACCATACTTCATCCTTGTAATTCTTTTCCTATGGAAAAATAAATCAAATAGCTCTTTGCTCACCTTGATTTCATTCTCTTTCTGTAGCTAAGATAACTTATATGGTTGGGATGATCCACTGCCTTGAGGCCTAATTTCTACACCATAAAGGTAGAAACAACATTTTCAAAACTTTCATTATCAATTATAACATCACATACATTCCATGGGCAGTACACTGAGTGTGAAACACTGTTTTTATGCAACCAATCTTCTTCTTTAGCAGGTGCAGTACTCAAGCTACATTGTATGACTAAGGATTCTCCACAATCGCCATACTTCATCTCTTCTTCCTCTTCAAGGTTTTGATCCTCTTCAGCCAGTTCCTCTTTATTTTGCTCCAAGTTTCCTCTACTAGAGTCACAATCTTCCTGTTTGGGCATTCTGAGGTAATGTGTCCAAGCCCTTGACATTTAAAACACCTTTTGGTTTGTTCACTAGATTGAGGCTTACCTTCTCAGGACCCAAATCTCAAGTTGCTACCAGGGGCCTCTTTTTGTTGTTTCTCCACCTTAACGGCAAGCTTGTATACATCATTGAAAGTCCAATAGGGTTGTAGCTACACCACATTAGCTATCTCAATCTTCAATCCTCTAAGATACAGAGCAATAATATGCTCTCATATTCCATCAATTCGCATTTTAACATGAGATGGTCAAACTTAACCGTATACTCCTCCACTGAGAGATCTCTTTGCTTCAAATTATGGAGTCTAAGAAAGACATCTTGTCGAAAGTTATCTAGGAGATACTTTCTCTTCAACTCTTTTTTCATCTTTTCCCAAGTTGTAATTTTTATCCTACCTTCTCTTTCCTTTTGCTTATTCAAATTTTTCCACCAAAAGGATGCATGCTTTATAAGTTTGATGGCTACTAGCTTCACCTTGTAATGTTCAATGACATCATGGTATTCAAATATGCGTTCTACCATGTGCAGCCAATCAAGAATTCTTCAAGGTGCATCTTCTCTTTAAACTCATAAATTTTTATCTTCGAATTGAATATGCTAGGATGAAGTTAGTTTTTGCGTAAATAGTCTCTAATTTGCCGTAGGTGAGATAGGGTGCTATCATCAGAATCGCTGTTGTTTCCACAATATGGATTGGTTTCTTTTTACCTTCTTCATTCCTTCTTTGTTGCCTCATTATCTTCTTTCTCTCTTCTTGTATATGTAGTCGATGTTATAGTTGAAAGGATTTGTTGCCACATTTTCTCTATGAGGGCATCCCTTGGGTTAACATTGGTAGTTGCTGCAACGTCGATGTTGGCTTCAACCTCTTTTGTTGGTGCTTGACGATGATGACCTGCCATAGCTCTGATCGTAATTTGATGTCAGGAATTGATGTTTGAGATGTGAAGATTAACTGCAAACAAAAAAACTCACAAAAAAAATAACTCACAAGGATTTGAATAATGACAGAATATGATTATTGGATTAAAAAGGATAAAAGTTCATCACCAAGACTAAAAACTAAAGGATACAGAAACACCACCTTAAGAATTCTAATTAAGGATACAAAACAATAAAAGTTCATCACTCTAGGAAATCCACATAAGAGATACAGAACTTGAAAAACAATTTAAAAGATTGCTTAAAGACAAAGAAACTTTATTCTCCCTTTTACCAAAAAATAATAGAAAATATATAGGCTAGGAACATCCCTCCAAGCATAAAAACTTTCAGATTGCATTGCTAGAATCATGCTTAAAATCATGAGATTTGCATATGAATATAATCTGTCAATTTACTCCTAAACCTAACCACAATCATATTCATATTCATGATCTTCTTTTTCAGCTAGTGTGAACGCAATTTCCTTATTCCAGCTCACCTTATTTATATATTTATTTAGTAGATTTGGATCAAGGATAAGCTCATCTTATTTTTGAATAAGTCTGCCTTAATCTCAATCCAATCGTATGTTGTGCAGACACTTTGATGTCAACCACCAGTTTTGAAACCTGGGCTTCAAAATGTGACAGTTAATACACAATTGGATGATCTAAGAAAATCCCTAGAAGTGTTTGGCTCCACTGCAATAAAGGGAGACACAGCCAAGAACCTTGAAAGGAAACTGTCCATGTTAACTTGGGATGCCATTCCAAATGCCCAAACCCTTTCATCTATTTCCAGAAACAGCCAGGTAGGCGAGATATTGAGAGTGTTGCTAGCTCAGATCTCTTTGAGATAGATAACATATCTGGCAGTGGTCAGGCCTTGTTCACAAGGCAAGCATCTGATGGCATGTCTAGCTGCATGACCCCATATGCACCAAGCGATACCAGCATTGAATGGAGTGTCGTCACTGCCAGTGTAGCTGACTATTCATTTGTTTCAGATTATGATGAAAAGAAATCAGCAAAAAATATTAGAGCTCTAGGATCAAGAACAGCCAGTAGAGTGGCCAACACCAAAATTTTACCAGACAAAAGGCACAAAGAAGTCGATCAGGTGGGGTATTGAGGTGAAAGAGTCACAAAGCAGTTATGATCGCTGAAACTGCATACAGAACTAGAAGAGATGAGAAGTCAAGGCCTTCGCACCTGCACCAGCTTCCTCAGTTACCCCCATGCCAGCAAAACTCTCACAAGCTGACATTAAAGTGAAAGATCTTTGATTTCCCATGAGCTTAACAAGCTTTTGCCATGAGAAAACTCACTGTTACTCTTCTGCTTTTTATAAGCACATGTATTACAGCCTCGGCCAATGCAGCATGACATGGATAAATCAAAGGTGATTATGGAAGAAGATAGCTGAAAACATTTCCATCCGAAATATAAATTTCAATTTGGCTTTATTCTCTTTATATATGCCTTCAAAGTACTGATTTTCTCTCTAGAAAAATTTAGCACAATGGTCCCTATAGTTCGTGTCACTAAAATGCACAACAGCCTGGAAACATAAAGAATTTGTGTGGGCAATTGGACCCCAAAGAGGGTTAATAGGCCACGTACACCTGACGCACTTGTCTAATCAATTACCTTTATTCATTAGCTCAAATATTATTCTTGTTCTCTTGATTTTCAACTTGGGGGACATTCTCGTTTTGTTTTCAACCTTTAAAAAATAAGTTACTAGAAGTATTTTATTCTCCATTCCTAATTTGAATGTATACAAAAATTAAAACTTTTCTTAGAAAAAAATAAACTGTAAAATCCTAAAAATAATTCTAAGAAAAATCAAAAATAATTTTTAAGAAACTAATAATAACAATAAGAAAAAATTTTGTTGATATTTGTTGTCACTGAAAATCAAAAAAGAAAATATCAAATTTAATTTTTTATTTTTTTATGGATTTTTTTCTATTTTTGTTGTTGTAGTATTTGTTTGCTAATAAAAATATCCAATGTTAACTTGGCTGAAGTACACGAGCAGCTGGAAGATTTGTTGACCAAACATCAAAAGATGTAATCAGTTCTTGAATTTCCCATACTATCCCTAGAATTGAAAATCAAATGACTATAATACCATAACATGTCCATCTGTCAGATTCTGATCGGTCCTTTTACATATCCCAACAGAGCAGATATAAACTCCCAAAACCCTGGCGTTTTGTCCTCTCACTCTCTCACTTTTCTCTCTAGATATCAAAGGGGAGAAAAACATTAGGGTTTTAGAGTGAGGAGAAAACAGAGAGAAAGGGAGCAAGATAGAGAGAAGAGAAGAGACCAAATTTTAGGGTTAGGGTTCTCTTTTTCTTGTTTGGTGTAAGAAAAAAAATAATGGTGGCGGACAAAGGAAAGAAGGTGAAAGTAGCAGAGAAAGGAGAAGAAGAGAACTCTGAAAATATCGATGGAGACCTCGTTCTTTCCATCGAGAAGCTTCAAGAGATCCAAGACGAGCTCGAGAAGGTCCATTGTTTTTACTTGCATTTTACTTTCACTTTTATATCCATGCATGTATTTGCTGATTTTCTCGTTTTGCTTGTTTAGGGTTTATGAGAAAATTTCAGGAAAAATGCTAGAAAAGTTTGGAATTTTTTATAACAATCTTGAATTTCCATGTGTTTTGCTGGGATAATTTTTATCGAACGTTGGTTCAAGTGTCTAAGTATTGAATTTGTTTTTATTTCAATTGTGGGTCAATGAAATAAATGTTAAAAATGGTATTTCAGTGATTGTTAATTTCTGTACCTGATGGGCTTTTCTGTCGTTTATATGTTGGATACATCTGAATTATTGTAGAAAGCTTTTGTCCTTTAATTGTTTTCTTCCGCTTGTTGAAATGTCCCGCCCCCCTTTTTTGTGGTTGCTTTAAGTTATTGTGTCTTATTGTGAAGAAGCGATTTAATGTGGATATGTTTGTTTATGAGCTTGTCGGTAGAGTTGTAAATTGTTATATGTGTTTCTATATTTAATTTTGTTGTTCCGTTTTGTTATGTTGTAGATCAACGAGGAGGCAAGTGAGAAAGTCTTGGAAGTGGAGCAGAAGTACAATGAGATACGCAAGCCGGTCTATGATAAACGGAATTACATCATCAAGTCGATTCCTGATTTCTGGTTAACAGCTGTGAGTGATTCTATTTTTTCCTTATGAATTTAAGGTACTTTTTTTAAAGCTGTCTCCATGTTCATAAGAAGGTTTTAAATTGATATGTGTTCTTCATGTGCAGTTCTTGAGCCATCCTGCTCTTGGTGAACTTTTGACTGAAGAGGATCAGAAGGTTTAGTGTCACATCTTTCCCAAACAGAAATTGGTTCTGCACTTATTTTACTTTGCAAAATTGATTTTTGGTTCAATTTTTTGTAAAGCTGTTTCTGGATGTTTGCTTTTTATGCAATCTTAGTTAACTGCTTTCTTATTTTTTTTATCTTATTGTTTTCAATTATTATTACATTGTAGATATTCAAGCACATTAGCTCGCTTGAAGTGGAGGATTTTAAAGATCTGAAATCTGGATATTCTATCATGTTTGTAAGTTCATCTATGTTCCTTTTCATACCTCATTTTCTAGGCAATTGAAATTGCTTTTACTTTCTTTTTCTTGCACTCAACTGCTGGTAAAAGTTAATTATTCTATGCTCTAATCTGTCCTGATGTTTTGTTGACTGACTTTTATTATAATTGTTCAGAACTTCAATCCCAATCCATATTTTGAAGATACTAAGGTTACAAAGACCTTTACCTTCCTTGATGAAGGAACCAAAATAACTGCCACCCAAATCAAGTGGAAGGAGGGCATGGTGAGGGCTTCTTCTTTTTTTGATGTCTATTCATCTTCTCGCTATCAGTTTTCCTTGGATATTATATTAAATTGCTTTCCTTAATGTGAAGGGCTTGCCAAATGGAGTTAATCATGAGAAGAAAGGAAACAAGCGGCAATTTGCTGAAGAAAGGTTTTTTTATCATACTTGTCAATCAATTTTCTCTCAGTCTTAGGACTTCAGTAACATAAAGCTTGATATTCGTTTCTTTAATAACTTCAGGTTGTGAAATGTGGCCACTTTGTTACTATTTTCTCATTATTTTAATAAGTTTCTTGTATTTAGAGTAGCATTTTGTAAGAATTTCATTTTTTACAAGTCATCTTCCTTCTGTTTTATTGAGCCAAACCTTGACAGATTGAGTTTCCTTTGAGTTTCTCTTTTAGTGTAGACAAATTAACATTTATTTATTGCAATTCCTTGGCAAATGTTGAATAGTGATTGGTGTGCTTATAAATGGTGTGTATTTATACATATTTTTTAGTTTCTAATAAGTTGCTTTATAAATTGCTAGTCATTTGCTCTGTTGTAAAGTTTGCAATCCATTTATGCCACTTTCTTGTATTTGATTCTTCTTTTCTCGCTCAGTCACACTGCAAATCAGCTCTATGTTGTGCTAAATTTCTTATACATATGAATGCAGCTTCTTTACCTGGTTTACCGATGCTCAGCAGAAAGATGACATGGATGAAATTCATGATGAGGTAAATTTTTTTTGCATTTATTGTCTATCTGTAGCTGTTTTTTACTAATTTTGTAAAAGATCTGGTCTAAGTTTTCACTTTTCACTTGGTAAACACTACAGGTGGCAGAGATTATCAAGGAGGATTTATGGCCCAATCCTCTTACTTATTTCAACAATGTAACTTCTTTTTCTTCTGTCTTCTTCCCCTGATTTTGTTATATACCTGTTGTGTAAGATCATGTTTTGCATCCTCTGCCAATTGTTATTGGTAACTTCCTTGATTCAGGAGGCTGATGAAGAGGACTTTGATGGCAATGAAGAGGTACTTATTTATATGTTTTTGGGTTTTTGTTTCTTTGAAAAACTTGGTATAACGTTTTTGCTAATTTATTTCTCTTTTCAAATCAAATTGCGTGGCTGTAGGCTGTAGTATTTCTTTCTATTTTGTGCTATGTATGTTAAGCATATTTACTAGAGTTTTGCTTGCACTTAAAATGTGAATTTATCAATTGATCAAGAATTCGTAAAAAGAAAAATGTGATTGTAGACAACACTTACTAGGGTGTTAAGGGTTTATTGAACAGTTGGAAAGGATGAATCCTTTTATTTCGCGTTTATTTAGATGAGGATTTAATTGCTCATTTTCTTTTGCGTGGTTTTTTTTGAATCATGGTGACATTTGTGTGAGATATACTTGCTAGAGCTTGCTGTATGAATTTGCTTGTGGAACCTACTGTTGGACTTTACATTTGCATCATTTGTTCAGTTATTCATAGTTATAACTGGTTCTTCTAATAATCAATTGCTACTTAATCATTGAAGACAATTTAGTTTATGTTGTAAATTACAATTCTTTTCTCTATAATAGCATTATATTAACCCTAGAATACTCGTACTACACTACAATGTTGTGGATGGATGCTGTAATGTGCTTGTTTCTTTTGATAAGTTTGTATTGCCCCGTACTAGTGTAATGCGGAAGTAATTAATTGGCATTATGCAAATATATTAGCATGCCAATATTTTCCATATTAATCCTGGAGAAATCCTCTGAAACAGGATAGTGGGAGGAGCTGGGATCATGTTTCTTCCTTCCAAAACAATGTGTTCAATGTTTTGGGCTTAGGATACTTGAGTGCCTCATAGACACATAATCAGCAAAGGTCTTATCCTAACTGACGCAAATCATTGGGATTGGATATAGATTGTCTTGTGTGTGTTAGTATTAAGGCTTTAGAGAACAACTTGCTAATCCCTTGGATTACCCTTTCATTATATAGACAATACTAAGGAAGGAGAATCAGTTACAAATTACACATTAATACTCCCAATTAATCCATCCTAAATTGTCTCCCATGAAATATTCCCATAATATTCCAACTCACACACACGCATACACTAACACTCCCCCTCAAGCTGGAGCATATATATTAGTCATGCTCAGCATGTTACATATATAGTCAACTTGAACTCCTGGAAGTGATTTCGTAAGAATATCGGCTAGTTGGTCCTCTGTGCACACATGCTTCAATAATATTGTTCCACTGCCACTTTTCCCTAATGAAATGACAATAAACTTCTATATGTTTGGTTCTTTCATGAAATATTGGTTTGGAAGCAATATGAGTTGTCGCTTGATTATCACACCATAACTTTGTAGGGGTCCAAACTGAAAGCCCAATTTCATCTAAGAATTGAACCATCCATAATACCTCTGTTGTAGCCAAAGCCATGGCTCTATACTTTGCTTCAGCGCTAGACCTAGCAACTACTTGCTGCTTCTTGCTCTTCCAGGACACTAGATTACTCCCAAGGAAGATAGCATAACCAGATGTAGACTTTCTATCCGTAGGAGAAGTTGCCCAATTTGCATCTGCATAGGCTCGAATACCCCCATCACTAGTAGAACTTTAGACTTCCTATCTATACTTCTACGCTAGACCTAGCAACTACTTGCTGCTTCTTGCTCTTCTAGGACACTAGATTTCTCCCAAGGAAGATAGCATAACCAAATGCAGACTTCCTATTTATAGGAGGGCCTGCCCAATCTGCATCTGCATAGGCTCAAATGCCCCTTCACTAGTAGAACTTTAGAATATTTCCTTTGCAGGATTTCTCAATAAATATTGGAGGATGCACATCGCTACTCTCCAATATCAGGTCTCATCATGGTCAGGTAATTCAATTTTCCTATTAGTCTCCTATAAGGTGTGGGATCATCGAGTAAAGTGCCATCTTCTGGAGAAAGCTTGATACTTGGATCCATCAGTGTGTCACTGGGCTTGGCATCGAACAAGCCTTCATCTTTCAACATATCCAGCACATATTTCTTCTGAGATACAAAGATTACTTTTTTACACCTGACCACTTCAATACCCAAAAAATATTTCAATTGACCAAGATCCGTGGTCTCGAATTGGGTTTAAGATACATCTTAAGTCTGTCGATCCCTGCACTATAACTGCCAGGGATGATGATATCATCTGCATACACTCCCAACAATATAAGCCCAGAACTTTGCCACATATAAAATACTGAATGATCATTCTCACTTTGTTGCATGCCATATTGAACAAGAGCTGCACTAAATTTGCTGAACCACGTGCGTGGAGATTGCCTCAAACCATATAGAGACTTTCGCAAGTAGCACACCTTCCCAAGACTCCCCTTGAGCAACAAACCCCAATGGTTGCTCCATTTATGCCTCCTCAATCAGTTAGCATGTTGAAAAGCATTCTTCACATCCAATTGATGTAATGCCCATTCATGTGTAGTAGCAAAACTGAGAAATATGTGAATAGATGTCATCTTTGCAACTGGTGAAAAGGTATCAAAATAATCTACTCTATATGTCTACACATATCCCTTTGCTACTAGTCTTCGATCTAGCCATTGAACCATCAGGATTCAATTTGTGGCATAAACCTACTTGCACCCAATAGCTTGCTTCTTTTCTAGCAAGGAAACCAGGTCCCATGTATGGTTGGCCTTTAGGGCCATCATCTCATCCTCCATAGCCTTACGCCATCCTAAATCTGCAAAAGCATCACGAAGAATACGCGGCACAGTAATAGCATGAATTGTGGCTCTACAAGTCTAAAGTTGAGCAGAAAGTCCTTTGTACGAGGGTGTGTATAAAGGAAATTTTCTGTTAGTTTGCGTACCTTTATGTAGAAAAATCGGTACATCTTCAGCCATGGTTTCTCGAAGTGGATCCATCAACAAAGAGATTGTCTTAATAGGGGAAGTTTTCGTAGGGGGATCTAAGTAGGTCGTTCTAGTGTACATACGGCCAAATCGAGTATCTGGGCATGCCTTAGAAGGACATGCATTGACCTGTATGTATCTAATAGATGATAAAATCTTCTTCTTCTGATATGATAGGTGATGGATGAGATTGTAGTACCGAAGGAAAATAAATCGACTTGTGAATCGCGACATCTGCTGAAATAATAAAGTGACCTAGGTTTGCAGAGTAGCATTGATACCCTTTCTGGACATGTGAATAACCTACGAAGATACACTTAAGAGAATGTGGGTTTAATTTAGTGCGACCTAGATGAGTGTCATGAACAAAACACCTTTACCCAAACACCTTGAAAGAGATTGGAAATAAAGGATGATAAGGACATAATACTTGAAAAGGAACGTTTCCTTCAAGAATCGAGGACTGCAAACAATTTATAAGATAACATGCTATGAGGATAGCTTCACTCTAGAACACTTTAAGGACCTTCATTTGAAACAAAAGAGCACTAGCCACGTCCAACAAATGGCGATTTTTCCTTTTAGCCACCCCATTTTGCTGTGGGGTATCTGTACATGAGGACTGATTAACAATACGTTTTGCATTTAGGAATTGAACAAACTCTGTAGAAAAATACTCTCCCCTATTATCATTTTGTAAAATTTTGATAGACCTACCGAAGTGATTCTATATTTCTGCATGAAAGGTGGTGAAGACAGAGACTAATTCGGAGCGGCTCGTAACAAATACAACCAACAAACTCGTGAATAATCATCAACAAATGTCGCAAAGTATCTATAACTAGATTTTGAAATAATAGGACAAGGCCCCTATACATCAGAATGAATCATAGCAAAAGGAAGTTTTTCTCTTTTATTAAATCAAGGTCAATAGGATACTCTGTGTAGTTTGGCAAACTTGCATGATTCACAATCAAAACTAAAAGAGGATAAATGAGGACACATAGCTCGTAAAGTTGACATAGATGGATGACCAAAACGACAATGAGAGTCATAAGCTAATGACAATTCTCTTTAGTATGTCATTAATCTAGATTATATCTTCTATTTGTCATCAGGCAGATAAAGACCTTCAATTCTTCCCTTACCAATAGTCTGCATTGTCAATAGATCCCAAAAAACACAATAAGTAAGAAAGAAGGAAACACTACAATTTAAATTCTTTGTAATCTAACTAATTGAAAGTAAGTTAAAAGGAGAAGAAGGGACATGTAGCACAGAATGTAAAGGTAACATGGATATAGGTCGAGCCTTGCCACTTCCCACAATATCTATGGAGTTTTCATTAGCAACCAAAACAGAATGTTTCCCCGTCATTGCAGTATATGAATGAAGAGTAATTGTAGTACTCGTCATGTTATCTGAAGCCCTTGAATCAATCACCTAAGTCTTAGAAGGGGTAGCCAAGCATGTAGTAGATTTACCTTGTATAAAAGTTGTTAGAGAGGAGATCTACGTCTGATTTTGAAGCATCTGAATAAGCTTGTCATAGTCACCTTGGGATAACTGAACTCTTTTCTCCTCTTGCTGTTGGGGTTGAAGCGCAGCATTAGTAACATATGTTGCTGGTGGGCTAGAATTGCCCTTAAGTTGCGGACAAACATTCCGTAAGTGTCCCTGTTGTCCACAATGATAGCAGGACCGCGGGTCTCCTCTCCCTCTTCCATGTTCTCTACCTCGTCCACCATTTCCTCTGCGTGGTGCTCGCCTTTCACTCTGTAGGGCCACAAATACTGCCTTGTTTTCCTGTGGAGGATCATGCTGAGCCCTGCTCAAGCACTTATAAGCATCTAGTTAAAAAGTGGATCTCTACCTGCTAACATTTGAGTACTAGCACTAGCATACTCTTTCCTTAATCCTGCTAAGAAAAATAATACAGCTAGAGCCTTTCGTTGCTCCTGGTTTGTCTTTAGATCGGTAGACAAGGGCATGAGTTCAGTAAACTCATCATATACTTCCTTGAGCGCAGCAAAATATTCCATCAGGCTCCTAAAGGACTATTTTATTCTAGTCCATGCCCTAGTAACATCTGAGATTCTCTGTCAATTCTCAGAATTTGCGTAAACAATTTTTAAAGTATCCCAAAGTTCCTTGCATGTAAAGTATTGATTAAACATCACCTCGACTCGTTCCATCAAGTTGAATAATTGTTGAAGTACTTGATTGTCCTCCTACTTCCACTTTGCATACTCTGAGCTTTCCTTTGCTGGCAGCTCGTTTGTCAGAAACCAAACCTTTCCAAGACCTCGCAAGGTTACCAACACAGTCTTGCTCCATGATAAGTAGTTGGAGCCATCAAGTTTCTCATCCGACAACCGTGAGCCTCTGATAAACTCCTGAGTTGTCACCTTTGATGCGGTTGCCTCTTCCTTTGCCATGGCGACAGAACCTTCTTCCTCCAAAACACAACTGCCAATCCTTCAATTAGGTAACACAACCCCTAATCAACAATTAGGAACTCCGTCCCTAGTTCTACAGCCACGCTCTACGTCAAGAAGAACTTGTCTCCCTTAATCTATCATTCACGAAGAGGTTGCAACCCCTTCTTCTTGCCACCTTTGAGAATAAGGGGGCGGCCCCCTTTCAACTAATGAGGGACTGCTGAAGAGGAAGGAAAAGTTTTAAGTATGTAGCTTTAGGGCTGCGAGATCAAAGTTTGAAGTAGCGACGGCTTAGGTGATGGCTAGGGTTGTCCTGCTAGCTCTGATACCGTGTTAGAATTAAGGCTTTAGAGAACAACTTGCTAATCTCTTGGATTAGCCTTTCATTATATGGACAATACTAGGGAAAGAGAATCAATTGCAAATTATACATGAATGCTCCCAATAAATCCCTCCTACACTGTCTCCCATGGAATATTCCCATAATATTCCAACTCACACACAAGCATACACTAAATGTGCGCATGCCTTTTAGATTTTTGCATATCAGCTTAGCACTAGAAGTCTTTACCCAATTCAGAGTTTAAAGTTTACGGTAGTTGAAGAAGCACTTTGAGCTTGCAGGTGGCAGGTCTCTGATGGTATAATTTGAGATGCTTAAGGTAATTGTTTGGATTGCATTTCATGTAGGGAAAGTTTTGTTGTTGTGAGGTGAATGGTCATTGAGCAAATTAAAGATTCAGGTCTTGGAATGAAGATATTTATAGTTTGGTATATTGATCAATGAAGTCCTTGATTTAGTGGTATAGATGAAGGTGGGGAATGAGGTTGACAGCAATAATGAAAATTGTGGTGATTTGAGAAAGCATTAGATGCATTTTCTTTTTATTCTAGGAAATACTTGGGTCTAGGTCACTGTTCAGGTAATAGCTCTATTGGAATTTCTAACTGCTTTTGATTTTTTTTGAATTTTTTCAGACATAAAAACATTGTTGTCAAATGCCAATGGCTTAATCATCTGTTCTGTTAAAAGATGGTAAAATATCAGAGACAAAATGTTGTATATTTATACTCATCATAGTGATGCATTATATTTTTGGGTAATTTATATGCACATTTTTTTTTTTGGCCAATTGTATGCACATTCTGAAGTCATAATTTTTTTTATACCAAGTAGACACCGTTCTTTTCTGTTTGTCTCAGGTTTGTTTAAAGCGTGCTGAAGTGGAATAGTATATTTACTATTAAACTCTACTTATTTCTGCCATCTTTTTATCTTATATTTATCCATTGACAGGGAAAAGATGAAGATGACTTTGATGACGATGATGATCAAGACGATGAGGATGATGACGATGATGGTGATGATGACGATAACTAAAATCACTTCTGGCCTTTGCGTGCTTTGCTTAAGTAAGAACTTGTGTAAAGTTGTCTTTTAGTGGTTGCTAAGTAAGGTTAGGGGAGGATAACCATCTTTAAGATAGCTGTCTCTGCTGTATAAGCAAGCAACTGGCATTATTGTCAGCATAGCTCTGACTCGTTTCCTTTTGTCTATCCCTCTTTTACCTTTTTTTTTTTTTTTTTTTTTTGTCATTGTTTCTCTGGTTTCCTCCCCAATGATATTGGAATGCGGGCATTTCATCTATAGTATTGTTTAAACTCCGTTAATTAGTAGAGAAAAATTATATTATGGTATGTAAAATGCAGAATAGATTATAGTTATGGCGTTGAGCTTGACATCTTTATGAATTTGAGTACTATTTAGTGATTGTTTCTACAATGTACTGAAGCGCCCTCTTTCTGTTTCTTGCCAAAATAATTACAAGATCCAAGAGTTTTTTCAACCATGTGACAGAACTCTCCGGAACGATTAAAAGGTATACAGAGGTAAATTTGAAGTTTATCTATGATTAATGACCCGTTTGAATTTTAGTGAACCTCGGGTTGAATTCAGTCTTTTTTTTTTTTTTGGTTGTCAATCTTTGAGCATGAGTTGAATTCAATCTTTTTTTGGGTTAACGGCACCATGAGTGCAGTTTTGTTGAATTCAGTCTTTGAGTATGCGACAAGGAACTCTGCGGAAGGATTAAAAGGTGCACAGTTTTGTTGTAGATTGTTCCTTCTAGAAGGCCCTAAATTTGAAGTTTATCTATGGTGTATCCCCCGGTTGGATTTCACTGTACCTCGTGTTGAGCTCAGTCTTCTTTTTTTCGTGGGGCAGGGGTTTGGGGACGGGGTTGACTGCAGCATGAGTTAAACTCAGTCTTTTTTTGGTTTAATTGCACCACGAGTGCATTAATATATTATCTCGGGATGCCGCCTATGGTTATCTTTCTATCCGTGATTGGAGGAGGAAGGATCCGGTGAACAATTATATCTTTAGGTAGTCGGTTGTTTTGCATAGCGTAGTTGATTACTTGTGTAAAAATTTTCAAAAAATAAAAATATTTTTTTAATTCACAAATCACCATCCAAACACATTTTTTAATTTCGTGATTACAATATTTAATTTCAATTTTAACGTCGTTGTTTTGAGTCTCATGAAATCAACCTATCGTTCATTCAAATAAATTCTTAATTAAAACTCTTAATTAGTGTGATATGAAATAGTAAAATGAAGTAGACGTTTGCGCATATGGTTGATATTTTTGCGGAATTAATTAGTTCTTGCACTATTATTGTTGTTAGAATTATGAGGCTAACCGAGGTTTCAGCTGTGTTTCTTTTCCCATTTTGTTGAGCAAAATATTGATTATTGAGAAAAAGGAACAAATCATCGACAAAATTGCGAGTCATTGTTTCGGGAGTTAGCCTTAGCAGGTTTATGGGGCCAAGTGAAGCAGAGACCAGCGTGTAGCAGAAAAATTACTTAGCAAAATGAAAATAAGGCTGCAAAATCCTTGATTATCTGTTTGCTTAATCTGATCACAAACAGAATCAATGGAAATAAATTGATCAGATTGTCCTTTACCGCTTGGGCAACCTCTTCAAACTGCGCAGAAGTAGTATGAATGTTCCAAACCTTAATCTAAAGAAAACAATAGCTTCTTCCTCCTGCCTTGCCACGAAAAGAAGTTAATGATGAAATTTCTCTTAAAATTAGTTAGTTGTTCCATCATTGTATTGTTTCATTTTGCAACTCTCTTACAATCATTTTACTTCAGAAAAAAAGGTATCTAGTCAAATCACACCCAGGAAAACTTGAAAACAGAGGCGAATCCAATGCCATGGCCCCACTCACACTCAGTTCACCTAAACCTAGTCTCAGCCCTTTTTTATTAATTTCAATGTTTGACACCCTTTTCCGCTTCGTCCCCGAAAGCACAAAGTCGGGACTGGATCATTTAAAAAAAATAAATAAAGAATTGGAGTTACTTGAGTTGAATGGTTGTATATAACAGAACACATGACAGTGTCTCCGTTCAAAGGCAGACTTCAACCGAGTTGGAACAGAACTTGGAATGGTTGATCCCCTCATTCCCACGGTAGATCTCTCAACTTTCTTTCGGGAAGATGATGAGGATGGCAAGAGGATGGCCATGGAAATCATTACCAAGGCCTGTTCTGAGCATGGTTTCTTCCAAATTGTGAACCATGGCGTGCCCATAAATTTGTTGCAACGGGCGCTTGAGCTGTCAATGATTTTCTTTGAGTATCCAGCTGAAGAGAAACTCAAAAGTAGTCCAGCGTCTGATGCACCTCTTCCAGCAGGATACAGCATGCAGCCCCAACACTCGACTGACAAGAATGAGTATCTATTGATGTTTCCACCAGGGTCTAGCTTCAATGTTTTGCCTGATAACCCACCTGAATTCAAGTTTTTCTCTACACTCATTCTTGCTATCAACATATTCTATCTTTCAATATTCTGCCACTATACCTATACAAATATTAATTCAATCGACTTAATTTTGTAGGCAAGTTTTGGAAGATGTTTTCTCCAACTTGACAAAAACAGGTGTGCTTTTAGAGAGCATAGTAAATCAGTGCTTTGGTCTCCCTGCCAATTTCCTCAGAGAATTCAATCATGATAGGAGCTGGGATTTAATGGCAGCACTTCGTTACTTCCCAGCTACTGAAACTGAGAACAATGGAATAAAAGAACATGAAGATTCCAATATCCTCAGCTTCGTGTTCCAGGACGAAGCTGGTGGTCTAGAAGTTTGCAAGGACGGGGAATGGATTCCTGTAATCCCTGCAAAAGGCACATTGGTGGTCAATATAGGCGATGTTATTCAGGTACAAAGTTTACATTTCCTTTTCCATGTCATTTCTTATCTGTTTACTCAGCTTTTCAGCTTTGTATACTGTATAATTTCAAAAATCAACTCTTTTGGTACTGGAAACACTGTGCAAAGGTATTGAGCAACAACAAATTCAAGAGCGCAACTCACAGAGTGGTGAGGCCTAAAGGGAGAAGCCGCTATTCGTTTGCCTTCTTCTATAACTTGCAGGCAGAGAAATGGCTTGAACCACTGCCACAGTTCAGTAAAGACATTGGGGAGCCACCTAAATACAGAGGATTCCAATACAATGAATACCTGCAGCTGAGAGTGAGGAACAAGACTCATCCACCCAGTAGACCTGAAGATGAAATTCGCATCACCCATTATAAAATTAATACTTAGCTGGAATACTACTAGTATGATATCAATGTTCACTCTGTAATCTTTTTCAATTTCCATTGCCAGGCAATAAAACTTGAATAAGTGTGAAGTTGAGGGCCTTGACATTGTGATGATCCAGGGTATTTGTAATGTTTCGATTTGGAAGTAGTAAGTATGATTAGTCATATCTTGTACAAATTACGTTATCTGCAAAACATCATTTACTATAAGTTCTATAAATGAAAGTTAAGTTTTTGATTGAACACTATAAAATGAAATCTAATATGGATAGGCATCCGGGACATATATAACTCACATAGTTCATATAATCATTCTTAAGAAATATCATTCTAACAGATTTAAAATTCAAATCCCTTTCCAATTTCCAAGCTATGGCTTCCTGTGTAAAAGGATTTAACATGCGGCGGCTTTCTCTGGTACTATTGTTTACTTTAACAATTATGAACCATTGAATAACAAACTATCAACAACCCCAGATTACTGTCTTTAGCGACGGCATCTTCAAGAATTGATTCCCCATATGTTTTGTTTGTTCACTTGTCTATTTCCTTAATTTTTATATGTAAATTGTAATATTTAAATATAATTATAATTTCTTTTATGCAAATAGCCTAAAATATAGTGTAATAATTTAGAACTCTATATAAAATATAATTTACCTATAAGCTATATCATTGAATCTACTCATAAAATATTGGATAATAAATTTAGGATAAATCAGCGGTGCTCATAAAATTTTGCAGCATGCTTCAAACCTACTCTCTCATTGATTCTCCATATCCTTTTGTTGCAAAGACTTCTTATTCTCATTTATAGCCCTTAGTATTCCTTCTACATTTTTCTTTTATTAAAAGATCATAATTTAGTATTTAAAATTTATATACTGATATTTAATTCTTAAATTTATTAAAATATTATATGATTATGTTAATCAACTGAATTAAATTTTAAGCTCGCATCTCTTTCGTCTTTGCTTACATTATAGATCAGAAAATAATGAAACAGTAACGTGGTATAGAATTCTCACTATTATTGTCATTTTCCATTATCTCCTTCTTCTCTTCTACTCACAGGCGCATCTGGTGCTTGCTGCGTTCTTTCCTACGAAAAAATACAATTTCTAGTTGAAACCACATTTGACAACACTTAGAACTACACATGAACCTGTTGGTATGCTAATAGCTGAATCTATTTCGAAATCCATGTGTTTTTCAAATTTATTATTTTTCAACTCCTAATTCTCTCATTTTCTTTCTATTTAGTAATAAAGAGATTTTGGATATCGTCTAATATATTTTCTCTTCAAATCGATTTAAATAAATTTATTTAAACCAAACTTAATAAATTTATTAAAATTTATCTTTTCGTAATATTTCAATAAATTCCAATCCAAATTACAAAGAGGAGCAATTCCTAATTCTTTCAAATAATCAAAAGCAAGGATAAAATAAATAAATAAAAGGAACTGCCTGCCCTTCCCTGCATATGAGTTTGACAAACAACGGGGCTCTTGAAAATTGGGCTCTGGAAAGGAGCATGAGTTTCAGTCTTGAAGCTTAAAAGCCAGCCCAATGCTAAAATCATTTACATTTTTAGTAACAAATTAATTGCTTAAGGGTTGAATAATAGATTAAGTTTAACTAAAATAATAAAATTTTTTAAATTTTATTACTTTATTTAAATAAATTTATATATTTTTATTGTATTAAAATAAATCTTTAATCTTTAATTTATATTTAAAAACAATTCTTAACCTTTAATTTATATTCAAATAATTGTTTAATTTTTAATTTGTATTTAAATAAATCTTTAACATAAATTAATTTTCGTTTGAAATAAAAATTTATTTAAATAAAATTTAAAAATAAAAGTATAAAATTTTATTTTAAAAAATAGAATAGTTTAGGAGCTTTTTAATATTTTAGCCCTTTAAGTTTCCTTTCATTTTCAACAATCTACTTTGATTTTTCCTTTTACCTAGTATCTATTTCCTTACATTTTTATTATTTTCTTCATAATTACAACATAAAAGAAAATGTTAGAAATTATCACCATGCAAAGAGAATGAAAGGTTTTTTAGCATAACCATCAAAGATATTTTCATCACCTCATAATTATATTTTATGATTAAAATTTTAAAATAAATTAAATTTCATAAAAAAAAGGGATGTGGAGTTAGATATTTCAGGCCTTGACCTTATCTATGATCAGCTTTTGTCACCAAAGGTGAATGTTACATCGATATTAATGTATTGGAAATAATATGCATTAATCATTTATGATCTTTTTATAATATTTTACATATCATCCTCAATTTAGAAATTTAATATTTGGATTTTTAATTCTTTTAAGATATTTTAAATTTATTCATTTGATCAATCATTGTAAGCACTCATTTGTGTTTGGGCCCGATTAAGCCCGTTAATGTTTGGATCCAATCAAGTTTATTGACGTTCGGCCCGATTAGATCCATTGATGTTTGGCTCAATTAGGCTCATACTTGCCCAGATCCAATTAGATTTTTTTTTTAAGTTGATTATTATTTTTTTTGTTTTTTTTTTCTTTATTGCTTTCCTTTTTTGTTCCAATCCACATGTGAGTGAAAAGAAGGAATTGGGATAAGAATCCCTTGGTTAAACACAAAATTGAATTAGCTAAAATTTTGGACCCAAAAATCACGCTGGATAGAATGTAATCCCATAATTCAACCTGGGATTGATTCTGTTAGTTTTTCTAAAATCGATTCTAAGACTGCCTATAAATTGGACTAATTCTACATTAAGAGATACACAAAAAATTTTAAGAAAAAATGGTCTAAAGAATTTTTGGCAAAAAGGTTCTAAGAGGTTCAATTTTGGGACTTTAGGTTCTATCTAAGGTTAGAGGTTCGATTCTAGGTTTTTTGGTTAAAATTAAGATTCTAAGAGGTTCTGGGAATAATTTGGACAAAATTTAGAGAAATCTGAGAAAAATTCAAAAAAATTTGGGTTTTTGAGAAGAACATAAAGTTTTCGATGAATTTTTCGGTGGCTATTTGAAGTTTTCGGTGAGATTCCGACGATATTTTCAGAATCTTGCAGACTTTCTAGAAATTGGTAGGTTCTAGTTTTTTGGTTGAATTTTTCGATAACTTTTCTAAAATTTTTTGAACTCGTTGGTTAAACTTATACATGTAGTGAAAGAAAATTATTAAAATTTTTAGATTAAAATGAACATAAAAATAAAAAATATTTTTTTTACTTTTTAAAATAAATTTTACTGGCCTGGATATATCGAATTTCAGTAGCAATTGATGGAATGGATAAATTTAAAAATTAAAAAAAAGTTAAGGATTTAAAATTTAAGCTATAAAAATCATAAATAAAAATAAAATGTTAGGCAAAAATCATTAATTTTTTATGCAATTTGGGAGCTTTTCACTGTCCCATGGTAGCAGACATTAAAATATCCATTGATTTGACTACAAATTAAAATCGCTTTCTGCAAACAAACGCGCCCTTGACACTGGTGGCAAACAACTTTAAACATTATATGTACATGGCACATGCGATTCTGAATTTTGTTATTATTTAGGAAAAAAGAAGTAATATTATTTTTTTTATGGTATTAATATTATTTGACAAAAAAAAAAAAGAATAGGATATATGGGGTCAATTACTGTTATCAAAAGGGGTTGATATATGCAAAGGGAATATCTTTCTTTTCAAAGAACACTATCAAGAAAAGAGTTATAAAGGCACCCTCGTTTTCAAATCAAGTTGCAGGCTTTGAAAATAGGGACAAATATATAGAAAAAGTTTTAAAGATGAAATTAATAAATTTTTTATTAAAAATATCTAATAAAATATTAATAAAAATTTAATAAAAAATTTATTGAAAATGTTATTTATATTCAAATTTAGTTAGTAATTCTTAACGATAAAAATTTTATTAAAATTTTAAATAAAAATGCCTATCTTAAAAAAATTTATAAAAATTTTATTAACTTTTTTATTAATTTTCATATTTGATATATGTGAAAAAAATCTTTCACTCCAACTATTTGGATTTTTATTTTATATTTTTTTATCATTTTTAATAAAAAAATTTACAAATAAATTAAATATAGATAAAACAAAATGAGATGGTCACTTTCATTTTGTAATTCAATACATAAACTATAAAACTAAAGTTATCAGCTATATATTGTGAAGGGAGGAAGAGGAAAGAGAAATGAGAATATAAACAATAATGATATTTCTTTGAGCTTATGTTTGGATAAGAAGAATATCAATTTGATCCTCTTGTTTTTTTTTTCCAAGCTTACTTGGTGTCTTTTGATTGGATTTTATTGTATTTTTCGAGATAAGAATTTAGCATGTGGTTTTGTCGCAACATGCAGAGCGGGCAAAGCATTAAAATCTAGATGGAAAATGACTGTCACATTAGTTTTTAATTTTTTTATTTTTTTTAGTGAAAATGATACATTATTTATGCATATTAACATTATGTGTTAGGAACGGTTAACTTGTAATTCATTTTATTATAATTTTATAATTATTTAATTATAATAAAATATTATGTAAGTGTCTATCACTTATGATTAATTACAATAAAATATTATTTAAAAGTGAGTTTTAATGTTTTATAATTCTTTTTTTAAATTTAAAATTTTTTTGAGATAAGTTGTGTTAAAAAAATAATTAAAGCAAAAATATTTTTCTCCTATTTAAAGGAAATCTAATCATTTATTTTTTTTATCAAAAACATAAAAGAAAAACACTTGTTAAAACTATAGCAATTTGAACAAGAGTAAAATCTTATATAATTATTTATTAAAATCATTTCAATTTTAATAAATATATACAATATTATCTAATTAATATTCACAGGTCCTAATCGTTCTGTTCGGGAGAGCCAATCCAACCATTCATTTGTGAATTTCTGTTTTAATATGAAAAACTAATAAAAAATTGATATTCAAAAACTAACATTCAAACACTGCCTTAAGGCAAATAAGGATCGGACCGCAGTTGGAGCCAAATTTGAACGAGCCATCAGCAATTAAATTCCAAAAATTTGGAACAAGTATGAAAAAGAAAATAATAATAACAGCACCATGATTCACGTGGTGGCTATTGGCCTTGGTGCTATCGATGAAATGACACAGTTAAACAAAAATGTCAGTGTTGTGCCTTGCACGTAAGCACAAAAGGAGTGTGAAAAAAATCTTTGGGGCCCTATCCAAATTGAGAAAAAAAAAAGTTGAAATTAAAGGATTGGATATTTGGATTACAGATGGATATAATTTTGGAAATAAAAATATATCCAATTGGAAAAAAAAAAAAATTTTGAGGGAGAGAGGAGGGCCACAGAGAGTGGGGGAAATGATGCGACCCAACTGTTTTTTTTTTTTTT